TGGCCTCGGACAACGCCGCGGCAGTGGCCTACATAAACCGGTAAGGGGGCACGCGCTTTCAGGGCCTCATGCAGTTGGCGACGAATATTCTAACTTGGGCAGAGCACACCCTCCTCTCGCTGACGGCGAGGCATATCAAGGGCAGCCTGAACGAGTTGGCAGATTCGCTCAGCAGGACAGAGCTGCACAGGTCAGAGTGGTCTCTGAACGCAGGGACGTTCGCATGGATCACCAGCTTGTGGGGCTGTCCCGAGGTAGACCTCTTCGCAACAGCAAACAACAAGCAGGTGGAACAATTTTTTTTCGCTCTCCAGGGACGACGGAGCCCTAGGGGTGGACGCTTTGGTGCACCCCTGGAGCTTCAGTCTAGGGTACGCATTTCCCCCACTGCAGTTAATCCCGAATGTGCTTCGGAAGCTCAGGGGCGAACGGATGGCGTTAATTCTCATAGCGCCATGTTGGCAGAAGCGGCCGTGGTTCACGACCCTCCTGGAGTTATGTGTGGCAGGGCCTCTGCTCCTTCCGCCAGCGGCGGATTTATTGATGCAGGGCCCGGTGAGCCACCCGCAGGTGCAAGCTTTAAATTTAGCAGCATGGCTACTGAAAGGGAGGTGTTAATCAGCAAAGGGTTATCCGCACGGGTGGTGACTACACTGCTGCACAGCAGAAAGCCGGTGACCTCTGCGATCTACCTGAAGGTGTGGAAAGTGTTTTCCAGCTGGTACTACAGGCAGGGTAGGCCTGCGGTGGCCACAGTGCCATTGGTGTTGGATTTCCTGCAGGTCGGTTTGGATAAAGGGCTTTCCTGTAGTACTCTGAAAGTGCAGGTTTCTGCCCTGTCTAATTTTGTGGACATTCGATTGGCGGAGGAGCCTCTCATCAGACGATTTATCCGAGCAGTAGGCAGAATGAGACCCCCGAAGAGTAAGGGGGTGCCAAACTGGGATCTCTCGGTGGTGCTGCAAGGGTTTCTCAAACAGCCTTTTGAGCCCCTGGAGGGGTGTTCCATCCAGCAACTGACGTTGAAGACGGCCCTATTGGTGGCGTTGGTTTCCGCACGTAGGGTGAGCGAAATTCAGGCATTTTCTATTACCGACCCCTACTGCACCATCCTGGCAGATCGGATTATTTTGCGACCAGACCCGGCGTTCTTGCCGAAGGTGGTTTCCACCTTCCACAGGACTCAGGAGGTGGTCATTCCGTCGTTTGCCACTAACCCGGCCTCTGCTAGAGAACGGGAGTGGCAGGGTATTGATGTTCGAAGGTGTGTCTTGGAGTACCTCCAAGTCACAAAACCTTGGCGGCAGTCGTCACGCCTCTTTGTTACGTTTGGGGGACCCACTAGGGGGAACAGGGCCACTAAAAGCACGATTGCAAGGTGGATTAAAATGGCCATAACTGACACCTACAAAGCACAGGGCTTGGTGCTGCCAGGTTCGCTTGCGGCACACTCGACTCGAGCATGGGCTACGTCCTGGGCAGAGCGAGCAGGGGCTACTCCAGAACAGATCTGCAGAGCAGCCACGTGGTCCAGCTTCCAGACGTTCGTCAGGCACTACAGGCTGGACCTTATGACTCAACAAGACCAGGCATTTGGCAGGAAAGTCCTGCAAGCTGTGGTCCCACCCTAGGAGGTAAGATTTGTCCTCACTGATCCTCTCGATGGCTGTCCTGGAAGATGACTGGGGAAAACATGAGTTGATTACCTGATAACTCTGTTTCCAGGAATCTTCCAGGACAGCCAGTTCCCGCCCTTGGTGTGTATCCAGGTGGCATCCGAGGTTGGATGAAGGAGGGGATACTTTTGTGCATGGGGTAGCCTTCGGTCCTAGAGGTTACTGACTTGGGATGGAAGGAGGAGTCTATTTAATGTGGTTGATGTGTTTCCTGTTGCAGGCAGGCGGAGCCTATATCTCGATGGCTGCCCTGGAAGATTCCTGGAAACAGAGTTATCAGGTAATCAACTCTGCTTTAAACTCTGCTTTTTTCTCTGCATTAAAAAAAAAACAACCAGACCTTAATACTACTTTAAGTTGCCCTAATAAACAGTGCAACATTTTAGATTCCAAGTGCAAGGGGAATGTGTATCCCCCTGAGTTGTATATTTGCAGCTCGCAATCCACTAACCATTCCAGGGAAGCCTGTAGTGACCCAAACAAACGGGAGGCTTTAATTATCCTTTAAATTTTAAAAATGCATTCAAGTATCTTAACTATCAACAAATAAAGTAGCTTCCCAGAATGCAGGGGGAAGTATTGAGAGGGATTGCGGTGCGTTTGGATTCACATTTGGAACAAGCCCTAAAGCAAAAAGAATAAAAAAATTCCTCTTACCAAGCAGAATAGCACCGATAAGGTGCCAGATTAGACCTGTCTTGTGAGAATCCCTTTGACACCATTGTTGGGGCTTGTAGCAACTACAGTTGTAGGCAAATCCTTTATATGCCTGTGCTTTAGACTTCGCAATAAGTCCCTCGGGCAGCAGATACAGTCCTGTGGTGCAACATTAATGTGTTTTAATTGGCTGCAAAAGAGCCCTATGTAAGAAATAGCACCTTGCCTGTTGTATAGCACTTGACTTTTCCTAAAGTGGACCTAAAATAAAAAGGTGAAAATAGGGAATATTTAGAGATGCTAAGTGTTAAAAAATATTACCTTTTAAAATGCATTTTTTTGTTGTTATGGAATTTCTTCTGAAAAATAGCATTGCACCTAATAACATGGGTATGTGCCTAGGCTCAGGATGACTATACCTGTATATCTGTAGGGTGTGAGACCAGCAGTAAGAGGCAGCAGTGCCTTAGATTTCAATTTACCTACATAATTTATATTGTTCACCTTTACTAATGGTTACTATGCTCGACATCACACAGCTGTGATTTAGTTTTGTCATGTTTTACTTTGTGAACAAATAACTTTTTTCTTTTTGCATTCAGGAAAATGAGAAATCGCCAAGCCAAAACCGGAAAGCCAAAGATGCTACATCAGATAGCGGAAAAGGTGTGTGTTTTCCCTTTTTCTAAATTATTATTATGTATATAATGAAAAAATGACAGGATATTCCAATTTGTAGGTTTTTTGTTGTTGTTTTTTTTCAGTGAACTGCAACACCAATAATAGATTTAGATTAATCACATTTTCTTAAGCTGTTATCTGTTGACTACAGATAAACTCGCTGAAGATTCTGCTTCCTTAACCTTTCGCTGCCAAGCCCTCCAGAACATTTTTAAAATCAGCTGGCCACGCCATTTTTGCAATTTTTTTCCCATCGATTTGATTCTCAACTGCTGGGTTGCTAGCGTTTGTAAAAGACCCCCCAAACCATATATTTTCTGAAAGCGCAGGCCCGGTAGAATAAAAATATGGTGATACTAAATTTGTAGGCCCCGCGATAATTGCGCAAATGTTTCTCAAATATTAAACCGATAAAAATACACAATTCAATTGTTAACACACCAAAATCAGTATCCGTGCACAAAAAAAATTATTTTCTGACTAAATCTAAAAGATAAAACTGTATTGAGTTAATAAATAACAAATATTAGCAAATTTGTAATTGCGCCTTTTTGCGAAAAGGTAAAAAAATGAAAGTACGCAAAACTGTAAGCGACTTATGTAAAAAATTGTTTTTGTGTTGTGATAAAATGATACAGGTGTATATTTAATTGCAACACAAGGTATGGCAATGCGTCACAAAGCTTTGCCATGCGCTGCCACAGATAATTTAATGTTTTTTTTGTAAAGAAAATAAAAAATCATGCACTGCGATGTGTTCTAACAACGCACTGCAGCGCATGTGCATGATGGCCCACAATATGTGAATGTTTTGTGGGGGGAGGGAGGGGTTGTGCTTTTTTTTTTTTTTTTACACTTTTTATTTATTTTTAAATTTTATTTTGTTTTAAAAACATTTTAAACTTCTTTTTTTTTTATTTTGTATTAATTTTTTTTACTGTTGGGGGGGGCTACGGTGAAATCTCTGGGGTCTAAACAGACCCCTGACATTTCCCTTTTGAAATAGAAAAAGAAATTGAGGACACCAAATCCTCAATTTCTTTTTCTGCAGCCTCAGCACTCAATGAATGGGAAGAACTCAGTACAGAGGCTCCTCCCCATTCATTCAGAAACTGCTGATAGTAAAATATTTACTATGAAGCAGTTTATGAATGGGGAGAAGCCTCCATAGTGAGTGGTAGTCCCCATTCAGAAATTCATGAATGAACAGCCAACCAGGGACGCCGATCTGTCATTACACTGAGAACCCGGCGGAGCCGCTGTGATTTCAAGGCGGCTCTGCCGGGTTCTCAGTGTGTAAGGACAGTTTAGCATCTCCTGGTTACCAAGTAACCAGGGAACGCTGGACTGTCCTTACACACTGAGAACCTGGCGGAGCTGGGCATGATATCACGGCGGCTCCGCCGGGTTCTCGGTGTGTAATGACAGTTCAGCATCTCCTGGTTACCTAGTAACCAGGAGACGCTGGACTGTCATGAGAGCTTGTCAGAGCCGGCTTTGATATGACCACCGGCTCCGACAAGCTCTCATTGTAATGACAGCTGGTCCCGGCCAATAGAAAACAGTTGTGCGGAGCTAGCTGTCACTGCTAACCTTTTTTTTTTTTTTTTTTTACTTTTTCTATTCTGCTCGGTACCAGCAGAATAGATCTAAAAGGTAAAAAAAATGACGGTACTCAAAACTGTAAATAAGCGACTTGTGCTAAAAAATGGTTTTTACGCTGTGTTTGTGTTGTGATAAAATGATACAGGCGAATATTTAACTGCAACACAAAGATCACAACGCATGGCAATGCGTCACAAAGCTTTGCCATGCGCTGCCGCAGTTAATAAAAAAAATGTTTTTGAAGAAAAAAAAATACATTAAAAAAATAATGCACTGCGATGCGTTCTAACAACGCACTGCAGTGCATGTGCATGGCGTACACCTCAATATGTGTATGTTATGTGGGGGAAGGGAGGGGTTGTGCTTTTTTTTATTAGCTTTTTTTGTACACATTTTTTTTTAATTTTATTTTTTTTACATTTTCTATTTATTTTATTTGTTACTGTTTGGGGGGGCGTGGTGAAATATCTGGGGCTAAATAGACCCCTGACATTTCCCTTTTGAAATAGAAAAAGAAATTGAGGACACCAAATCTGCCGCTCGTCCCTCCCCCTCCGCCGGCCAATTTTCATTGGATCCCCGCTGCCACAGACCCTACAAGTGGGGGACAGCAGATCCGTACGACATACGTCCTTGGCAAGGAAAGGGTTAAAGGGTTTCTAAACCCTCTGTGTTTTTTTCCAGCAAGCAGTAGAAATAGGCAAAAAGTTTGGAAAAAAAAAACGATTTATCAGCGGTTTAAGCTTACCCTGTTTTCGTCGCGCGCTCCCGTCTGAGAATCCGAAACTGCTCAGGCAGCCGCAAGGCATCTTGGGGTGGGCACAGTTCGTTTTTTCGGCCAGGAGACGAGCAGAGATGCAAGGTAAGTCTATGGATGCGTGCACGCGCATGCAGACACTGCTGGATCGGAAGTGCCTGCAAGCAGAGAGGAGTCGGCGCTGGATCGCACCGCTGGAGGGACAGATGAAAACATTAGGAAAGGAGAGGAAGATCGTATTAAGAAACCTCATTTAAGGTAAGTGCTAACATTAACATTGGGGTGAGGGAATTTTTTTTTAACTTTAATGTCACTTTAAGGGCATTTTACAACTATGCTTTGCTGGAATGTACTTATTGCCAATTCGTGTAACATCGTGCATCATTTTTTTTTTTTTTTTGTATAATCTTTATTTTTCTCGTTTCACAAATAGTCACATTCACAAAGGAACATTTAAGGAACAAAAGTGGGTCCAACATAAACCCCGACAGCAAAAATAAATAAAGAAAAAAGTCACAAATACAATGACTTACATGATCACGATGTAACGCAATAAGCGAGTATGTCGCCCCGGCCTCATCATGTCACATCACATAGGCTCGATTTTTCAGGGAAGATGGTGATGTCGTACACCAACCTATCTCCGAGTATCTAAAGCAGTACATACTGATATCCAGTGCTATTAGGTAGTTCATGAAGTGGAACCCTCCCAGAAGGCCAAGAGCCGGGGGATGACTCATCAAGCCAGTGCCTGGGTGCCCTCACGGGATCACCCGTCAAGGCGGGTTAGATACATAGTGCAGCTATGTTGCCCACTTAGAGTAGAAGCGGTCATGTTTGTTGCCACTCCTCGCCACCCACTCCTCTGCCTCCTGGATTTGTGTGACCTGCGCCACCCATTCAGATCTCCCCGGTACCCTAGCCTGCTTCCAGTATCTGGGGTTGAGTCTCCTCGCCGCATCCAAAAGATGGGGCAGGGCACTCCTCCTATAGGAGCCAATGGACGTGGAAGGGAGGTGGAACAGGATATGAACGGGGTCGTCTGGTATGTCTATAGTTGTGATAAGTTTAATTTGAGTGCGATTATCTTGCCAGAAGCCCCGTACAAGAGGGCACTCCCACCAGATATGTAGGAGACTACCTGGTTGCCCACATCCCCTCCAACAGTGCGAGGGTGTCCCCAGGTATATGGCATTCAGGTAGAGCGGAGTACGATACCAACGGGACAGCAATTTGTAATTGGTTTTGTGCATCTTGGAGTCTACAGAGGATTTGTGTGTGAAGCGGTATATCAAGTGCCATTGGTCATCTGAGAGATTCCGTCCCAGCTCCCTTTCCCATTCCCCCAGGAACCTTGGTCTGTCTCTTGTGAGCGTGGACAAAAGCATGCCATAAAAGGATGAGACTAGTCGATCTGGGGATGTAGATCCCGCACATAGGGACTCAAAGGGTGTGAGGGAGGACATGGGCCGCATACCCTTGGCAATCGTTCCAAAGAAATGGGTAAGTTGTCGATACCTCCAGTCTGCCAAGAGGAAATCGCCAAATTTGGTTTTGATCTCCTCCAGGGACATCAGAGAACTCCGGCTGAGGAGTTTATGACAGCGGAAGTCTCCCTGCAGGTCCCATAGGCGGAAAAAGGAAATATCTTCCCCACGAGGGAACCATGGATAGCCCCCTAGTGGGGACAGCGGGGGCGAGAGGAGACCCCCAGCATTTAGTCTATCCCACAGCTGGAGGGTCTGATGAGTCGGGGGATGTGTGGTCAGAGAGACCACGACTAGCACAAGCTACCCAGATCACGACCCGCCATGCATTTTTCCATCTGTACCCAGAGCCTGGTGGAAGCGTCAAAATGCCAGTTAACAATCCTTTGGAGAGAGATGGCTTTATAGTATAGGTTAACGTCAGGTAGGCCTAGTCCCCCGGCCCTTTGGGCCTGCGCAGGATGGTATATGCTATTCGGGGTCTCTTACCCCCCCCAAACAAAGCGAATAAACAGACTACGAAGTTTTACAAAGTATGTTTGAGATAGTAATATAGGTATCATTTGGGGGTAGAAGAGGATCCGAGCGAGCACAGTCATCTTCAGTATGTTAATGCGACCCAGCCACATGAACGATGTGCGATCCCAATCCTGGAGATCTCTCTGGAGGTTGTGTAGTAAGGGTTCAAAGTTGTGCGTATAAAGGCGGGAGCAGTGGTTGGTCAATTGAATACCCAGATATCTTATGGCCGTCGTGGACCAGGAGAACGGGAAGCTCTGTCTCAACTGGTGAGCCATTGCCGACGGGACCGTGATGGGCAGAATTTCAGACTTATGGTAGTTAATTTTGAGGTTGGATAGCTGTCCATAATGGGCGAACTCCGAGACCAAGTTAGGGAGCGAGGTGATGGGATCCGTAACATAAAAAAGGATGTCGTCTGCATAAGCAGATAATTTATGTTCCTGGGAGCCAATCGTCAGGCCTTTTAATATCAGGGTTATTGCGGACCTTATTCAGGAAGGGCTCCAGGGCCAGCGCGAACAAGAGCGTGGACAAAGGACATCCCTGCCTGGTGCCATTTCCAATTCTTAAGGGGTTGGAAAGGGTACCATTCACCTTCACGCGGGCTGATAGGT